CAGTTCGACACTGACACCTAGTGGAATAAGTTGATAGTTAAAGTGGACCTGTTATACTACGTTATATTCTATTCCAGCTTAGCCTCTACTAAAGCGACTTAGCACGGTTCACACTTTAAAATGAGCCCTCTTTATCTTATAGTGGTCCTTAGCTCAGCCTCTCATCTCTTCCTTTAAGTCAACTTAGTTTTAACTTCAGCAAGTTTTCTTGACCATGTCTACATGTTTACACTGTGTGCACAATTATTAGGGAAGTGAGTATTTTGGCTGTATTATAATTTTTATGCATATTTTCCAACTTTGAGCTGTATAAACTTGAGTGCCTATTAGATTTAAGCATATCAGGTGATGTGTATTTGCGTAATGAGTGAGGGTGTGGCCTAAAGAGATCAATACTCAATATAAAGGTGTGCATAATTTTTAGGCAGCTTCTCTTTCTCAGGCAAAATGGGCCAAAAAGAGATTTGAAGGACTCTGAAAAGTCAAAAATTGTAGAAGTTCTTTCAGAGGATGCAGAACTCTTGAAATTACTAAGATATTGGGGCGTGACCACCGAACCATCAAACGTTTTGCTGTTTTGCACCCAGATGGATGGGCCCATGGTTGGATCAGTAACGGACACAGAGCTCCACTTCGACTCAGACGCCAGCAAGGTGGAGGTGGGGTACTGGTATGGGCTGGTATTGTTAAAGATGTCCTTGTTGGACTTCTTCGGGTTAAAGATGGCCTCAAAATCAACTCCAAAACCTACGGCCAATTTTTAGAAGAGACTTTCTTCAAGCAGTGGCACAGGAAAAGGTTTGCATCTTTCAAGAAGACCACGATTTATATGCAGGACAATGCTCCAACGCATGCATCAAAGTACTCCACTGCATGGCTAGTCAGTAAAGGCCTTAAGGATGAAAAAATAATGGCATGGTCTCCTTCCTCACCTGACCTAAACCCTATTCAGAACCTGTGGGCCCTGCTTAAATGGGAGATTTACAGTGTAGGGAAACAGTACACCTCTCTGAACAGTGTGTGGGAGGCTGAGGTTGCTGTAACACAGACCGTTAATTGTCAACAGATCAAAAAACGTGTGACAGTTATTGAAAAGAAGGGTGGCTATATTGGTCACTGATTTTATTTTATTTTTTGACATGTCAGAAATGTTTATATGTAAATTTTGAGTGGTTTTATTATTCTCACTTTAACAGATGAAAATAAACTAGTGAGATGGGAAAATGTT